CTCATTTGTACTTCCCACACCTTTGGTGTTTAGCTTGCAGGTAGCCAAGAGTAATCTTGAAGGCAAGTAATCTTAGTTTGGTCTCTGTGTGTGAGGAATCAAGGCAGTGTATCACAGCTTTATTTTGTAGGTTTTTAAAGCCATAAATTAGTTTCTTTATAAAACTCTCTGTAAAGGTGTAAAAGAAAAGGAAATTATAACCCATTTTTTCAACCTGTCTGACAAGTACAAGGTACTAGAATTCAACCCTTAATTGAATTTTTGGCACCTTCCTACGCCGAGTCCAGGTCTCGCTGTTTCAAAATCCGTGGTACCTCATGTCTGTGAACTCAGTTGGAGTTTGTTGATAGGATATCTCAAAATATCTCAGCTTACAGAGAGCTCCTGTCCCTTTTGCATTTTACTGGAACCAAATAGTTCAGAGTTTGTGGGTGTGAGGGGGCGAATTTGTTCTGCTTCCTCTTAGTCATGCCAGCCTTATGCTGGGGAAAGGCGAGAGCTGGAGGAGCAGTCCTGTATTTATCAGATGAATGTTTTTCTTCAACATCACAAGGATGGGTGTCCCTTGTGCCCATGCACAGGAGCACATCTGGGCTGGCCCCAGGGCAGGTGAGCAGCAGCCCTGAGCTGGTTGTGGCTGCTTGGGGAAATGTGCTGGGCTGAGTTTTGGGGCTGTGATATCTTTCCAGGTGTTTCTGAAATGCTGAATGAAAAAGTTTCATGGGAATCGAACCAGGGCCTGCTTAAGGATAGATACCTGGAATCTTGTTGGGTTTAGTGTTCCATCACTGCTTTTTTCCCCTGAGAACAGTTACAAGCCAGAACAAAACAGATTCACTCTGACAAACCTCTGTAGCAAGTGAGGATTTGTGATACACAACTGTTTTCCAAGAAGATGCTGTGGCAAAGGAGAATTTGTTTGCACTGATTCCTTGATTGCCTGTAGGAGGGAGGTGTTCATGCATCAGTTGATGACATCAAACAAAACTCAATCTGTCTGACACACCCTCACATGAGAGGTTCATACCTTTGGCCTTAATAACTGTGTGGCTGAGGAGTGAAAGCATTTTTAACAGTTTTTTTTTTTATTATTCTTCTGTTTAGCCAATGAAAGCAAAATGTACACAGTAGCATTTGAAACTGATGATTGTTGATTTTTAAACATTGTTCAGTGGGGACATTGACTCCTTCCCAGTGCTGCAGGATTATTTAAGCAGATTGCATTGATGCAGATCAGCAGTGACAGACTGTACTGGGGATGTCTGAGGAAGATAGAAAAGACTGAGTAAAATTTTGATGATACTCCCAGGGACTGTTTAAGTTTCTGGATGTGCATTACATAATGTTCAGCTTCATTTCCTTCACTTGAAATGTGTTTGTGAGTAGGGTCCAGGCAATTTAAAGCTGCTCTCAGTGCTGCTGCAGTGACAATCCAGGGTGCCCTGGGCTCTGACTGGAGGGAGATGCTGAGAAGATGCTGCAGCAGAATCAGTCTCAGCCTTGGTGGGACCCAGCCCTCCTGCCTGAGGAAGCACAGACCCCAAAGTAACCAGCCTGCAGCGAGGCAGGAGAAGAGGAGCAGCAACTGCTCTGGCTGGAATGGTAATTAAGAGCTGGATTCCCAGTTGTCAGCAGAGCAGTGTGAGCATGAGCCAGACGTGTGAGAGGAATTGAACTGAGGAATTTACCACAGACGTTTCCCATTAGATGGATGAGATGAGACCATTTTCCCACTGGCTGGCAGGGGTTGATCTGTGGTGTTTTACAGCCTCCTCCCCACTGACCAGCACCCACAGATCTTTAGGTTGCTTTTAAGAACCTTCCCTTGCTTTGGACTCATTCATTTATGTTTGTATTTTCACTTTGGAGAGCATTGCCAGCTAAGGAACTGATAAATTCTCTGCCTGTATCCATGTGTTCATTCCTGCCTCCCTGTCTTCCTTTCCCCTTGGTGTCTGTATGGGGAACTTCACTGGGAACTTCATTAGAAAGCCTCTCTAGACTAAAGTGATGTGGAAGTGCAGGGGAGGAAATCGAAATTGTTTGGTTTTAATTCATTCCTACTGGGAACTTCTATTCTGCACAGTTCAGCCTCTTGTGTTGCCATCAGTGGGATTTGGCTTGTAGTTAAAAACATGAGTTTGGTACTTTGTCTTGTTAAGAGCATTTCTGTATAAATTTTTTGTCTCCATCTATGTATTTACTCTACTTTGTGTCCAACTAAGTAATGAAAAGTAATACAGCATAATTATTTCACATGAGGAGCTTTTGGTGAGTGGTCACAAAGAAATACGATTCTGATTTGTATCTAATGTTGGGGTTCCAGCATTGTCTAATACCAAATATTTTATTAGCTTTCAGACAGTCTGACCTGCATGTTAAACACTTAATTAAGATGTATAAATGTCTCCCCTCCTTCCCCTGTGCAATTATTTAAGCCTGTCTGGCAGTAGTACATGGGACAGAGATCAGTGATGGAGTGCTGAGCAGCTGCCTCTGCAACTGCAAGGCTGGGGAACTTCCCTTTCTGAAAATTGCAGATTATTTCACATCTTTTTAACCACGTCAGGTCTCCAAGTGAGCTCAAGCTGCTCTCGATCCAGGAGTGGAAAGCTTCACTCTCTGTGTAATTGCATCCACACTGAGCTGCACGACTTGTTTGTATAGATTAATGTGGGACAGCTCCCAAATTCGGGCTCATCCTCAACAAAAGCAAGGCGAGCTCCTGCTTATCTGTTTCCTGAGTACCGTTTTTGTGCCACTATAGACTTGTGTGCTGGAGCTTTGTTAAGCTTTTCTTGCCTTGTGCAGCTTTTAGGATAAGAGAATAATACCTGGGCTCAGTCTATCATGGTGATGTGCTGGCTCAAGTGTTATGCAACTCTGGCAGAGGCATGCTCAATTTAAATAAAGAAATCTACAATGCCTGTGGATCACAGAGAAATCCAGTTATTTTCTATAGCAGAAACCTGAATATCCTTAAGTCAATAATTTATAAATGGGTAGGTTAAAAAAAAATGTGCTGCTGTTAAGCAGTTGTTGGGGAAGTTGGTGGTGTGTTGATAATGTTTGAAGTTATAAACAGTGTCTCAGTGTTTCTGAAATGAATACTGGTGGTCAGACTGGTGTTTTGCACTGGGCAGCAGTGGAGTGCTGGGTCGTTCTGCCAGTGCACTGGAACATGCAGGCAGAAGGATTAGAGCTGGTGCTTTAGGCTCCTATGACTTTTCTGTGCTGTTCCTAAATAGAATAAGAGCCTTCAGTGGATATTTTTGCTATCTTACTAAGAATCAGAGGAAAATTGATCAAGTAATCCACAGAAGTGAAGTGATGCCACCATAGATAATTTATTGGAAATTTAGGAAAGGGAATATTTCTTACATTAGTGGAAAGAGCCACGGGAAAGATGAGGGGCAGGGGAGGGGGAGGCTCTCCTTTTCCCCTCAACCATGTGGGATTGCTGCACTGGTTCATCTCTTTAATTTTCTCAGTTCAGGACTGAACAAAAGGCTGATGGAGGCTGGGGGACAGGAGGAATCTTAACTAGTGCTGGCACCAGTGGCTGCCAAGGCACGTGTGTGTACCCTGTTGTTCTTTGTATTTTCTCAGCTATAAAATGCGAGTAATAACACTTAAATTATGGATCATTCACCACTGTGTGAGTGAATTAGATAATGCTACATAGGCCTTTGAAGATGAAATGCAGAATATAAATGTTGTATAAAGCTCACTTTGTGCCACGTCTATAAAACCTGGTAATGCAGCCCCAGGATTGCTGGGAAGCATAAGGAGAGGCACTCGGGCTGCCTGCATGCAAATTGGTTCTGTGGAGCAGCAGCATTCACACAAATCTGGGCTGTGCTGACGAGCCCTGCAGCCTGGCACAACAACTTGTAAACACTTGTGGGTAAAGCTCTGAGCCTTGTCCTGTCCAGCCCCCTGCTCCGGGAGGATTTGCTCTGCTGTGCCTTGGAGACAGAGTGGCAGAGGGAAGGAGCTGGAACAGGAGCTCTGGTGTTGCTGCTTCTCACCCAGGGCTTGCAGCAGTAGTGGGTCGCATGCCAAGGTAGCACAGAGTTTAAAGGGAAATAAAAATGGAAGGATGAAGTTACACATTCCCTGCTCCAGGAGCTGGAATTCTACTATCAGTAGTTGTGTGATGAGCTAAACTGAGGCAGAGTGAGAACTGTTGCTTACCCCAGAGCATTTCAGCAAAGCTTGGGGGATGGATTAGTCAGAAGCATCAGTGCTAACCCTTTTCTAAATTTAGTTTCCTTCCTTATTCCCACTGTTGAATCTTTCTCACTGTACAGTCCCTTTATCCCCTGAGAGGGGGTTGACTCCAGCTAGCAGAGCTACCCAACTTCTCACTATTATTTACTAACAAAAGGGGTTTATTTGGTAACTAAGGCATGATTGATTATTCTTTTTCTTTCAAAGAATTTTTGGCTGCTTGCCATGTGTTTTGCAACTGAGCAACATCACAGAACAATAACTTTGTCACCGGTGTCAGGGAGCTCTCTCAGTGTTTGAAACAGTTTTACCTGTTGGGGGCTTTGAGGGAGTTAGATAAATTATCTAAGTCCCATCTTACTGGAAGATCAAATGAAAGAAATAACAGATTTCTGGGTCTTCTTGGTGGAAAAGTGCAGAAACCCAAACCAGTTCCAGGTCAGCACTTCTAAACAGCCACAATTCCAAAGAGGAGGGAAGGGGTTGCTGGTTTTGGGGTCCTTTTCTATAGAAGCTGTGAGTGTTTTCTTGGTCTGGGGCTGGAAGATTTCACAAACATATCATTACATAAGGGAGGAGGTTATTTTTGAGTGAAAATACAATATCACTTTTAATAGTGTCTCCTCCAAGTAACTGCATTGTGCATTGAACTCTGGGGATTTTCTTCCCCCACAGATTTAAGATTAAAAAGTTGCCTACTCTTCTTTCTTTTGAGTTGAATTTTATATTATCCAACAATCTCATTTTGTCTCAAATTTATCTTGCAGACCTTAAAACCTCAAGTCATGTATTTCCTTGGACTGCTGTCTCTGCTTGCTTTGCAAAGCGAAGCCTTCAAGACCAATTTTCCTGATGAAACCATTGCTGAGCTCTCAGTGAACGTTTACAACCAGCTGCGAGCCAGCAGGGAGGATGAGAACATCCTCTTCTCCCCTCTGAGCATTGCCATAGCCATGGGCATGGTGGAGCTGGGAGCCCATGGCACCACCCTGAAGGAAATCCGACATTCCATGGGGTTTGACAGCCTGAAAAATGGTGAGGCCTTTTCATCACGTCTTACTTACTTACTTACTGTGGCCTGCTCACATCCATGGGTTGTTCATCACTGCATTTTTTGGTAGCTTTGATGGCGTGGGCAGCCTCAAAAATGTGTGAGTTCTGCATGAGCTGAGAGATGCTGACATAAAACCCTGGCTGGGCTACCTGAACCTCCAACAGTTGCAGCTCACCTTGGTTTCTGCTGCAAAATAAACTTGCCTTGGCTTCTAGAAAGAGATTTTTTAGGAACTTCCTTTTGAGGGATGATGGTGAAAGCTGGTAAGGAAAGCAGAAGTTTCAGCAAAATTGCTTCTATTCTATTGATAACCAAATAACTGCTTTGAAACCTGAATGAAATTTCTTACTCGTGCCATGTGCTGGACTTTGGAGTGAAAGGATCTTGGGGGGCAATTTCTGAACACAGACATCAAACTGTGTTTGTCAGAGCTGATGCCTGTCTGTGGAGGCTGCAGCACCAGTTGAGTTCTACATTTTGTCTCTAAAACAATAATCAATTATCCCTGAGCTGTAGTGGAGGGGGGTGTGCAGTTGATTTTTCTTCTGAGCTGCTCACTATTCTGGGATGTGAGTGTGGCATTCAGTGAAAGTGTTCCCATGATTTCTGCTTGAAATAGATCATTGCCATCAGTTTTAAGGTTTATTTTCTTGGGTTTTAAATTTAAAAAATCACCTTCATGCAGCAGTACAAGCTTCCTATTTTGAAGCAGACTGCTTTAATCCTGTTCAGGATCTCTCATTACCCACCAAGGACTCTGTACAGCCCCACTAAGGATCCTGGGAAATTCTAGACCTGCTTTTTTAGCACAAAAGAGGCTGTGCAGGTCCTTAGTTTCAAGATTTGAAGTTCATTTTTCCTTAAACAGCTGGCATTTAAAATGGAACAAAAGTTCTGTTAAGAATTTGTGATGGCAAAAATTAGAAATTGGACCTGTAAGAAGAATTTTTTTAATTGCTCTTTTGGTGTAGAAAGGATTTCAGTTGATAGCTTTGTTTCTGATGGGACTCAAATGCCTCAATAATTAGACTAATTAGAGCTAGTAGAAAAAACAGGCTCTAAGTAATATGATCTTGGAGATTATTCCTTCAGATCTCATGGTGTGTGTAGGCTTAGAAACAAGTTTGTTTAAAAAAGACGACTTTCCTTCACGCAAAACATCTTGGTGAATTTTCATCAGAAAAGCCATGGAATAATTTTCCTTTCTGGACCACTGAAGGTGTTTTTTCCCTCTCCAGGTGAGGAGTTTGCCTTCCTGAAGGAGCTGTCTGACATGGCAACTGCTGAAGAAAGTCACTACGTGCTGGACATCGCCAACTCCCTCTACGTGCAGAACGGGTTCCATGTCAGTGACAAATTCCTGCAGCTGGTGAAAAAATATTTCAAAGCTGAAGTAGAGAATGTAGATTTCAGCCAAAGTGCAGCTGTTGCTACTCAGATCAATAAATGGGTGGAGAATCACACGAATAGTAAGTGCATGTGATCCTTTTGTGCGCATCCTGCGGGAAGTGTTTCTGCTTCCCAACTTGTGCAGTGATGCTGGGCTGGTGCTTTGGCTTTTATCTGTTCTGTCTGAGACTGAAGTGTCTCCTCCCTGGAGAAGAATTTCAGTATTACTATTTTTTTCCTGTGTAGGAATGAACTGTCAGAAGTAATATTAGTCATTGTTAATCATGTGGCATCTATTTGAATATTTGTTCTCTGGTCTTACCATCTGTAACATTTATTGAATGAGACTGTTTTAGTGGTAAGCATTTTAATAGTATTTTAAATTATTTTTTTAAAAAAATAGTATTGCTATTGATGAGCAAAGTTGTCTGCAGAGAGGTTATTGGCTCATGCTTTGGATGTGTGGAGTATCACTCCTCTGAGGAGCTCATACTCACAAGATACTGAGAAATAGAATACTAGGCAATGAAAAGATAATTTTGAACCACAAAATCAGTGTGTAATGTAATATTTTGCGGTGTGAGGAAACGAAGATAGCATGTTGAGAGGGTAGTTGATTTTAGGAATGCTGTCAACAGTTTCACCACACAAATTTGCAGCAGGGGAGTTAAGCACAAAATTACTGTTGTAAATATGCACATTGAGAGCTGCAGGGTGCTGCTTGGCTTGGCAGCTCCCAGAGAGGTGGCATTTCCTGCATCCATGCAGAGTCCCCATATCTGGGAGTCTCCTGGTGCAGGGGTCAGCTCATTCTGGTTCCCCTGGCCCACTCTGAAGGCTGAGATTTTGGGAGTAATTCAGGAAATTCTGTCTCTGCCACAGTTGTACCACTGGGAATTTGGAGGGATTGGAATCACCCGGAAGGAATTAACACATCCCCATGTAGTCTGAGCACTTAAGAATCCATAAAGCTTTATGAAAAAGCACTGCTCCAGAGTGGAAAAGCACCTTCTGTAATGCTTTTATTCCCTCTAGAAAATGGTCTGGTTTGTTCCAAGGGAGCACAGCAGCCGTTCTGTTCCTGACAAACTGCCCTTTCTCTCAGGCTGCAGAAGTAGCTGGGTGGAAGTGATGCAGCAGATTGCAGAGGGTTTCCATGGATGTGGTGTCTGTCTGAGGGAAAAGGAAAAGCAGGGCCCACCAGGGCAGCTGGAGGGCTCTTGGTGTCACATTGGGATGGTTCCAGTCCCTCAGCTTATCCCCTTCTCTCTGATTTCCCCCTTGGGAAAGGGGCACAGCACGGACAGGTTTCAGTTCCAGCCTGTTCAGCGTGATGGGAGGCTCAGAGCAGAACACAGAACCTTCAAAGGTTTCTCTGGGCAGGAAAATTCTTAACATTTCATTAATGTATTTACAAGATGTGGCTGATAAAACAAAGAAATATGAGCACCAAATAGAAATCTGGAAATATTTTCCTTTTTTTTTTTTTTTTCTTCTTTACACCTCCAAGTGAGTATTGGTCACACCTCCCTCCTTAGAACATTCGAGATAAAATGAAGTACAAACAGCAACCCGGAAGAAATCCAGCCCTGTGATACACAAATTTCACACCAGTTAGTCAGGATCATGTGCTCCAGAAAGCAGAATTAATTTGTTTTTTAAGCCATGGATTAAAGAGTAATAATCAGATGGATGAATGTGTTTATTTTAGCACTTTGCATTGCAATGTCAGCTAAAAATAGAAGTGAGTGAAAAAGCAACCTGAAGGAGGCTGTAATTCCTGAAGAACAGTGACTGATCTGGTCAGTGCACCCAGTTTACCAAAGTGGGAATGATTTTGGTGAAATGCAATGTTTGAGATGAGCTGCAGCAGGTACCAGACTGCATTCTGATGTAAATGACTTATTCAGGAGTAGGAGCAGAGCAGCTGCCATGCTCAGCTGCTGTACCTCCCATGAATAGAGCAGATGCTAGATGGTTTTCCTCCTTTGCTTTTCAAGAGCTATTGCCACTGGAACAAATGCTGGGAATTTATGTGGATTTTTGGTGCTTAGTCCTGGCTTTGAATTCAGCAGAAGATCACTGAGGCTCCTTCAGAACTGGCCCAGGTGAAGCTGCAATGGGGGCACTTAGCCCCTTTAAATCAAGCACCCATTTAAGTGCTGCTTTGGATTAGAACCAAAGTTTGTACAAGTTCTGATGTTAAGATGGAAGTGCTGAACTGTTTCATAGCAGCAGGGTAAACATTCCAAATGTGACCCTTTCTCCATGTGGCTTCCTTGTAGGGTATATTTAGTAGTGATCAAGAAACAGTTGCCTAACACGTACTTGATGGGAGGGTTTACACACCTCCACTGTGATTTAGGTTTACAAAACACTGGGACTTTAATTGGAGATTTAATGAAACATCTGAATTGGAAATTACATGTTAACACTGCTTTTTATTTTCTTGCATTTTTCAAGCTGCCTTAAGTTTGGATTTAATGCTCACTTTGACACGCAGACTGACAGCTGGGTTTCTTTTTAGGCATGATCAAAGATTTTGTGTCTTCAAGAGACTTTGGTGCTCTAACTCATTTGGCTCTCATCAATGCAATCTACTTTAAAGGCAACTGGAAATCACAGTTCAGGCCTGAAAATACCAGAACTTTTTCTTTCACTAAAGATGATGAAAGTGAAGTGCAAATTCCAATGATGTACCAACAGGGAGAGTTCTACTACGGTGAGTTAGACCTTTAGCAATTTAGAGCTACTAAATCTTCACTTAATGGGTTTGTTGCAGCAATATCCATTTGTATTGTTGTCTCTTCTTCCACCTAGAATTTTTAATGTGCTGTTTGCCCAAAGGGGGAATTCAGAGTGTGGTTATTTTTTCCCTAATGTGTATATTATAACTGGTAGCAACACTTATAATGACTTGCTTGATGCCACAGGATGGATTTCAGAATGTTTGTCCATTGGATTTAAGTTCTTTGCAATTCCTGAGCTAGTCCTGCTTATCACAGAAATATTTTTCTTGTGCTGTGCTAAACATTCAAATGAATGTTTGCTCTTTACTGTTGGACTGGTATAATAGAGGTTCTTTGAACAGCAGAACTAATGATCACTTTTAGTTGGAGCTTGAGCTCCAAGTGGATTCTAAAAGGTCTGGCAGCATTTTGCTCAATCTCATCACTGAAAAATCCTCTTTCCTGAATAAAAAACTCTGCCCATTTCCCTGAAAGTCTTAAATTTTAGGCTCTTCTCTGCCTAACCACTGAAAGTTGTGTCCCAGAACTGTGATTATGTACAAACAGTCTGATTGCTTGAGCTTGCATTCTGTAAGAAATCAAATGTAAGCCTGAAATTCTGTGATGAAGAAACTAATTTTATATAGAATAAAGAGGGTAATTTTTAGTTCCAGTAACAAGTAAATACAAAAAAGACAAAAGAAAATTGTTCTAACAGGGTTTTTGTTGTTTGCCTCCTCTAGGAGAGTTCAGTGATGGCTCCAACGAAGCAGGAGGGATCTACCAGGTCCTGGAAATCCCCTATGAGGGGGATGAGATCAGCATGATGATTGTCCTTTCCAGGCAGGAGGTTCCCCTGGCCACACTGGAGCCACTGGTCAAGGCCTCCTTGATCAATGAATGGGCTAACTCTGTGAAGAAGCAAAAAGTGGAAGTGTATTTGCCAAGGTGAGAGCATGCTCCCGTGTCACTGGAAGGGGGAATTGCATCCCCAGTGATGGAGGAGCAGGGTAGGGAACACTTGGGCTGTCCTGCTCAAGCCTGGAGTGCTGCAGCAGCCACAGGAGGGTGGTCTGGCAGCAGGTCTGGGGGGTGCAGTGCAGAGGGAGGGTTATTTCAGCAGCTCCATCCCTCTCAGAAGCACATCCACCCAGAATGGTGCTCAGAGTCATGCAGAACTCGTTATGGATAAATTCCATTTAGACAGGAGCCACAGAAATATTGGAAGTCTGAACTACCAAATGTTTCATTTAGGTGCTAATTAGGTTTCTGTGTGCTGCTATTTTCAGGAGTTCTAGTGGTGTGTGTGTGTCTGTGCAGATACAAATTGTTGAGTGTTGAGGGGTAATTCCAGTCAATTTTGGGTTGTTTTTTTTACCAGCTGTAAGAAGTGCTGCTTTTTCTCCTTAGAGCAGCAAAGAACAAGAAGACATCAGTACCAGAAGGGCTGAAATTTGTCAGTCCATTTGCAGACACAGGCTGTGTGCTCAGGGCAGACTTGCCCACAATACAGCATTAGGCTCTTTCCTGGAATCCTGCTTCATCCACTTTCAGATATTTCTCGTGCCTGTGCCCTGCCTGGCTTGGTAGCAGAGTTATTTACTACTAAATGTCACTAATAATGTACAGCTGGACCACACTGTCCTTCAAGTGATTCATGATGATTTCATGGCAGTGTCTAGGTAAGAACAGAGCCCATCTCTGAAAGGAATCACTTCCACTCCTCCCATTTTTGTGGTGCTGTGCAGTGGTTACGTGGCTGCAGAAAAAATAAACTCGACTGAATCCTTAAATCATGAAAACAGTTCTTTGATTTCAGGTGTCTGGAGGTCTGAGCTTGCTCCTGCAGTCCATCAGCTCCCTTTCCAGAGCAGAGAGCACTGTCCAGGAGCTGAGCACAATAGACAGGGCCAGCCAGGACAAATTAGGTTGAGATGGACTGGTGCTGTCAGCATGCCCTGATCCTAATTTGAGATGGACTCCACTTTTCTGTAGAGCTTAAAGGCAGAGTGCTGAGGGTCCAGCAGCATTTTGGGGCTGTTTTTCAGTCCCCATAGTCGGAGTTTCTCTCTTATTTAAGCCCCAGTTCCTTTGAAGAAGCAGGAAGAGCAGCAAAGAGCTGCACTGCAGGTTTAGTGCAGACTGAACCTGCTGCACTCTGTTCTGGGATTTGCTTCTTGTTTGTTTTCTCTTGGAGCTTCATGTCCCAGAGGCTTCAGAGTCCACTAGGACACATGGGAGGGGATTTTTCTCTTAGGCTGCTTTTCCTGCAGGCCTGGGCAAACCTAGGTGTGAATGAGAAGAGAAATCTGAGGATTCTTCCATCCTTCTATAGCTGGAACAGCAGCCTGTGCACAGTTGCTGAAGTTGGGCATCTTCTCTCCAAGAATTCCTGGAGTGGGAGATCCACAGCAGATTATGGAGATCCTCCATTGATTAGGGAGAAAATCTGTAAAAACCAGTTTCCATATTGAAGTATCTTGGGTATCTAAGCACATGAATGGCATTGAAAACATAATTAATATGTTTGATTTATTATTTAATTATAGCTTGGATTCAGTTTTTATTGGGGATTTGGGGTTTTGTTTGCAGAGACTCCAGGGTTCTCTGGAGCCAGGTTTTCACATGAGAATTTGAGGCCTGGGGTTTGTGTGATCATAAAACTCTTTATTTATTCTGCCATCAGGCTGCTTGATTCTTGTCCAAGCACCTCAAAGAATGGGATAAACACTTGCAAATTCAGCCATACAGAGGCAAACCAGCTAGAAACACATGCTGATCACCTTCAGTGTTTTCAGATTACAAAAGATAACTGTCTTGAGCTTGGAATTGAGTAGGAATTCCGCAGTCTCCTTACAAAAAATCCAGGAGTTAATTGCATGCTCCCAAGGTGTGGGGTTCCCATTAGGGATTCAGAGGTGATCTACAGGATTTTGTCAATGCTCTAAATAAACACTTCATAAATATTTGATGCTGTGACTCAGAAAGGCGTGTTATGAAATGTGGCCTCCAGGCTCTGTCCACTGAGAAATAGAATGCAGCACTGGAATAAAATTAAATTTTTATATCTTGAGAGATGCTATCCAATTATAAAGTGAACATTTTTTAAACTTATACATTTGTAATGGCACTGAATGACTTGCCAAAGCAGAGTTAATCACAACTTTGCAATTTCTGCCTGCATTATCTGTGTGCAAATGAAATTGTGTATTATTCCTCTTAATGGCAAAGGAGAGATTTGTATGGAATGGTTAAATTATACTTTCTCATTTTCATTTCCAAATCATTGTTTCCAGCTTAACCCAGACTAAAATGATCAACATTTTAATCCACTTTTTGCATAGGAGTGAAACAGACCATGAATCTAATTTACAAAGCTGTCTCTCCAACATAAATTACTTGAAGAGCATGGGAGGAACTGGTACCTAATAGTGGTGCTACAGTTTGCAGATCCCCTCTTTAGGATTGTTCCAGTGTGCCCAAATTTCTGTAACAACCTTCTTGCTTTTTTTGTGTATTTAAAATAGCTTTAAAATCTTTAGATGGTGCCAAAATGACAAGTGGTGTTAGCTGAAGGTTGTTTTCTTTAAAAGAAAAAACAGCAAGCACTAAAACCACCTCACAAAACCCAATATAAATCCAAACCAAAATGAAGAAAAAGAATCTTTAAGCCTTCTGATTTTACTTTTTAACCTTTCGATGAGGAATGGACCAGTGCTGGTTGTCCTTGAGATCCAACCACAGAAGAGGCACAAAACTCCACTGGAACACATTCCCACCCAACTCCTGCACATTCAGCCCTGGAAGGAAAGATCTTCCCAGAGAAAAACCCACAACCTGCTCTGCTTTCCCTGCCCAGAGCAGCTGAATGGGTTTTTGTTGTTTTTTTTTTTTTTTTTTTTTTTTTCCAGGTTTTGTTGTTAGTGGGGTTTTTCTGCTCTCTTGCTTGTTTGTTTTCAGAGTATTAAATCCTGGAGGCTGCTCCTGGCACCTGGGGACAAGCTGGCTGAAATTCCAGCCAGGATGCTGGAACTGATAGGAGCTGGCACTGGAGCCAGGGTGCCAACAGTGCCTCAGTCCCCAGGGCCTGTTCTCCAAGTGATGCTTCAGGTTTAGCTTTTATATGTTTCACATTCTGAGCTGCTTTAGTGTGTGGGTCTGGGCTTCACATGAGGGGATGCTGAGCTCTCCTCACAGAGCAGGGAGACAAAACAATTCCTGCTCCAGCTGGGCACCAAGGACAAATGATCCAAATCTCAGCCCAGGAGCACAAACACCGTGGGCTGGAGAGAGAAAAACAAGCAGGATGGGACTGCCTGGGCTAAAGCTGGAATGGGACAATGAACTCCAAGGTGCCAATGGAGCAGAACTGATCCCAGGGAGAGCCCCCGGGAGCGCTCGTGCATTTTGGGACCATTTTGGTTCATCTTGGGTTCATTTTGGGGCCATTTTGGTTCATCTTGGGTGCAGCCCTGGCTGGGCTCTGGTGCTGCCCAAGGTGGATCCATGGAGGAGATCCTTGAATAAATCCCTGCTTTATTCTGTGACTCTGCCCAGCTCTGCTCTAGGGCAGCCTGCACAGGGCATCACAAACAGGAATATTGATGTCAGGCACTGCAGCCCTTCCTCTGTTTGCCTGTCCTTCTGCAGGATTTCATCCCTCAGAACCAATCTGAAAACCTGGAATTGTCTTGCTTTGGCTCACTCAGAACCCTCAGGAATTTTTGAAATGATGGCACTTTGGATGAATCACTGCAGGCTGCAGTTGCCGTCTCCTGGATGAGTAGACCCTGTACCTTCATCCTCCTTGGCTCCTGAAAATCACAGAAAATTTACTGTGTTAAGGGTTGCATGACACCATAGAAGATGAACACATCTTTTTTTCTTTCTTATAAGGCTGTAAAATAGAAGAAAGATGGCCCGACGTGGAATGTTAGTGCTTAACTACAGAATTTCAGTGACATAAATGCATCATTTTATTCTAATGCTTGTGCAAGTTTTAAATTTCATTAAAATGTCCTGATTCTCTTCTAAAATCTCCAGAGACTTGCTGGTTTCTCTACCTAATCTTCTCTTCAGTGTCTGTTTCTCAGATATCCCTTTGTGGTTTTTAAAGCTCTCACTTGCTAGTATTCCATGATTTTTGATACTGAAGTACTTAAATCTGAAGTACTTAAATCTCTGAGAAACTTGAAGTTTTTCAGAGTATTTTTAGCATCAGAAGCATCTAAAAGATGGTGGGGGAAATCAAAAATGACTATCTGGTTGATGATATGCAGCAAACAGTGCAAATAACCAAGTGTCAGTGGTAGTGTGGTGGAGCTCAACATTCCCTGAGCCTGGGAAATGAGCTGGAATGTCAGTTCTGTGCTCCAGGTTGTCAGCTTTGATTTTGAATATCATCCTCACTGTAAGTCTGTAAGGAGTGCACAGAAATCCAGATTTGACTGAGGAGTAACTCCTGCTGAATGTTTATGTCGAATTGGAGAGCCTGAAATTAAATTTCAGACTGTGGAAGCTGCCCTGTTACTTTTGAGAAAAGGCTGGTCCTGTTGTCAGCTAAAATATTGGAAATCTCATTAATAATTGATCTCCCTGCTTTTCAGAGCATGTGAGGAAAGAGGGGAGATCTCTTTGGAGTGGGGTTTTACCACGAGACAAAACTCCAAGAAGGGAAATAATTAGGTTTATTTTCATAAAGGGATCATTTGCTATCTGTACAGCTGATGTGGTATTTTTGGTGTGTTTTGTTGGTCACAAAAAAGCAGGAACTCACCTCTGTAGATGCTGGGCAGCCCCTCACTCATCCAGCTGCTCAGGATTTGCCCTTGCAGAACTTCCAGGCAGGGATGGAGCATCCTGTGCCACAGCTGCTTTCTGGGTCACTTGCATCTCTGAGCAGATGTGTGTTTGCTGGCTAGTGGGCCAGAGACTTAAACCCACCTGATTTCCATTTCTGTCTTACTCTGTTTCTCTGCACTTGGAAAAAGATGCTTTTTTTGCAGTTATTTTTCTTATTTTTTACCTCAAAGTTTGCCTTCCATGCTGACTTTACCTCCTGCTTTCTTATGAATTTGACACTGCTGGCTTCCACCTAAATCACATTGAAAGCTTGGTGCATTTAATATTGGGGTGAAACAAAAAACACAAAGGGAAACGGACAGCTCTGAAACTTTTATAAAATGCATTTTAACATTCATTTGCATTCTCTGTAAAGTAGGTATAGTTGGAAGTGGTTTTCAAAACATTTCAATGTAAATATAATGTAGAAGAAAATATTTCTGAGTTTATTTCCTGTGGAATTCTTTAATGTGGACAGACAGGACCTCTGGACTGGATTGTACTAACTTTAGCATTGGGAATCAAGTCTCAATTCATCTTTTTTAGGTTTTTTACCAAAGTCTCTAAAGTCATTGTGGACATGTTTTACAGGTGTGTTGTGAGAATAAAAGTGGTTTTAATTTTGGAGCCTGAAGGTCAGGGAAATTTGATTGAATGAGCAACTTGTAGACTTGTTACCACAGTAACTGATGCAGAACACCATGAGAAGCTTCTTCAGTACTTGAAGTTTTGTTGGCCTCTTCTGATTCTTTTGAGAACCTGCAAGGCAATAAAACCACAAGAATCAGTTCCTGTGTTTTTATTCCATGCATGCCCTGGAATTGGTCTGGACAGAGTGCATGAACACTGCTGATGCCACCAGTGATTTATCAGTGCTGAGCTATCTCCAGATCCTATTTTAAGTCCTGAAATTATTCTCTGGATAATGATAATTCTGGATGATATCCATTCCACCCCAGATTTTTGGCTTCTAGTGGTGTTTCTAAGTTCATTATGGAAGTAGATTATGTACTGGATTCTTTTCAGGTTTGTGTAAGTGAGGAAGATCCACTTGACTCTCATCCAGTTCTGTTTGATGTCCAGATGATTCTTTTTCAGGCTGCCAAGGCTGGTGCATGCCAAGGTGTTGGACATCTCATCTCTTCATCAGCTGTGCCCTGCCCACAGCTCTGGGCAGACTTTCACTAGAAAAGAACATATTGTTCTTCCATGGAGCTGGGGAGTTCAATCCCAAAAAAGGACATTGCCCAGAAGCTCATTTCTGTGGTTCTAGCACTTCTGTGCCCCATCACCAAGGACTGAGCTGTGGCTGTGTCTGACTCAGTGGCTGCAGAAACCAGAGCAAACCAGAGCAGCCTCCTACAGACCGTGTTTGTGTTGGACAGCTACAGCCAGCACGGTGTAAATCACTGAGAATTCATTGCTACTCGTTCTCCAGAGCACCCAGAACTCACCCCTCACAAGGATTATAGTCACTCTCCCGTTGTCAGCCTGTGGCCATCTGATATTTTCTGCTCAGAGCTGCCATTACTCATATTTTTCTGCCATATTTCTGTGTTTCTCCAGCTGTCCAGTCTCAGTCTGGCCATGCATAAAGGTCTTTTTTCTTTTTTTTCCTTCTACTGACACCAGGCATAGCTTTTACAATGTTTGAAAATCAGTCTGTAAATGGGACAAGCTTCGGTTGTTTTCCACTATCCCAGGTTGCCCAAAATGTTGCCCTGGGGACAGATCTGAGTTTGTCCAAACCCAGCCTAGAACAGGGCTTTTGCCAGGTTACATTTAGTGAATTTACATCAACAGCTATTTGTTTTCCCTGCTCTTTATTCACAATCAAAACCCAATTACAATTGTGCCACCACACTAATTAGAAGCTGAATCAGCAATGCTTCATATTCATATTCATAGCTGGTCTTTCTTCTATTATCAAAGTGAAAATGGAGTATCTTTCTTACTCCTTTGCCAGCAGCTCTCTGGGAAGTTCTGCTGTCCTCTGCCTCATTTGATATTCTGTTCTGGTATCTGCACAATTAAATTCAGGTTTTACAGAAAACCTCTTGTGTAAAAAGTAAGCATTTCCATTAGCTGCTGCATAATTTTGCTCTGCAGTTTTATGGGCAGGGGGCTGCACATACCATTAGCATATTTTTGATTGCTTCTGTATTAGGAAAAATCCAGCTGTGAGTAAACTCATTTGTTTATAAGCATTTTTGGAAGGTGTCACTAGCACCAGATCTCCCACTTTGCATTATTTATCTTGGTGTTTTCACCTAGAAAATTTAATCTTCTAATAACTGTAAGTAGTGCTTACATCTGGCTTTTTGTAATGTTCTCTTCCATCCTCCAGGTTCACAGTAGAACAGGAAATTGATCTGAAGGATGTCTGGAGAGGTCTGGGAATTACAGAGCTGTTCAGCAGCAGTGCTGACCTCACTGCCATGTCTGGTAAGAACTTCTTGTCTTGTCTCTCAAGGTAGATGAGGAAACACATTTTTCACCTGGGAAAGTTCACTCTGAGTGTTCCTGACCTGGGTCTCATTAGAAATGGAGACAAAGTGTGATCCCCTGGAGCAGTGCATGGCTGCAGTGCCTGGGTGGCAGGTGGGATTCACACCCAGGGGAGTCACTTTGTGTCTCCAGTGCTGTTTGTTCCCAGCATGAGGAGCATTGAGCTGTGGCACAATTAATTCCTCTCCCCAGATACCTGGAAGCAGCACGGGAAGGAAGAGTTTGGAGATAAAAGCAATTTGCTCACAAATGCCACCTGCATTGAACAGCAGTTAAAATATCCAATATCTTGGAAATATCATGGAAAAATCCATGTGGAAGTGAGATATTTATGCTTTTAATACCTCCTAAAGCTGTTCATGGAGTCACAACATAGTTTGGGTTGGAAGAAACTTTAAAGAACATCTCATTCCAGCCCCTGTAGGGCAGGGACACCTTCCACTGTCCCAGGCTGCTCCAAGCCCTGTCCAGCCTGGCCTTGGGCACTGCCAGGGATGGAGCAGCCACAGCTGCTCTGTACTGAAGTGGCACCTGTATGATTTTGGGGTTTTTTAGCTGTGTGTGATACTCCCCAGCATTCAGGCAGGTGGGAAGTCCCTGTCTCCACTGTCTGACCTGGGACAGTCACACCTGGGTGCCCCAAAGCACTGCAAATAAAGCCAAACTTCCTCCCTCACTCACAGAGGAACATTTGTGATCTTCAGAGCCTTTCATTTTGCTAAGTTTGAAATATTCTTCATAGTCTATCATGTTTGCCACCTTCACTTTTTTCCAGTGAAACTGAGGGAAAACTGGCTTTAGCTAATATGAAAAGAGTTGAAATGAAAAACCCCTTTTCCAAAGAAATGGCGTTTTTTTTTCTGAAGAAAAACACCTTCAATTTCTCTGCCAGCTCAAAGAAAAGTCAGCTTCCCTCTAAATTCTGGTCTATTTATAGGAAATTATTTACTTGAGGAAAAAGCTCCAAGGAGAATGGAGAATGCACAGGGAACCACAAAGGCAGCACCTGGCTTTTATTTAGTTCCATGTAAAATTCATTTATATATCAAGGACATCTACTTATCAAGAGGTTGGCAGAAAGAATCACCTGCTTGTGTCTTAATCCACGTGACTAATGATTTATTTAAAGTTTTGTATTTCTGACAATTGTACTGTACAAAATCAAAACACCACGTTCTGCATGACTGAATTAACTCCTCTGCCATTTAAACATTTACTTGTTATTTAAGTTACAGCAGTGTATAGAGAAAATTCATGAGTTTTACTGTAGTTTTCCTGCTTTTCACTGAAAATAGGTTGTTCCACATGAGCATGAAAAGGTTATTTGTAAATTAAGAATGAAAAAAATGGTTTTGAAGTAATGTCTTTAATGAAAACCCCACAGTTAATGCTGTCTAAATGAAGTTTTAAGTGGTTAAAATACAGAATACTTCTTTCTAATTTTCATCATTTAAAAGATGGATGGAGGAAGAGAAAATAAGTCATGAAGGCAAATTGTTTAAAGCTGACTTTTACAGACACCTGAATGGGACATCAGGAAATGGAAGGTAGAAGTTTATGTGCATCTCAGGGTCACCCCTCTGGAAAATCTGACACTTCATGAGCTCTTACGTGCAGATATTTCAACAAAATCTTTAAGTGGACACTTAATTTAGGAAGATATAAATCAAATCTAAAGAGATTTTTAAGAAATTTGGTCCATTTAAAAATCCTCTCCTCCTCTGCCTGTTGCTCTGGCATTGCTGCCAGGGAAAGTCTCCTGCAATTTCAGCAGCAGCCCAAATCCTGTCATCAGCTGCAGGCAGATTGGTGAGCTCAGCAAAATTCCCTGTGGCTTTAGTGGGTATAAACTAAATTGCAGGATTATTTTTCAATATTCAGATTTTTTTTTTTTTTTTTTTTTTGCTGCTTCCCCTCAAGCTGCAAAATGGACCCAGAAGGACCAGCTTTGCCTTCTGGAATGTCTGGGTTCTGAGCAGCCAAAGGGAAGGTGTTAATGCACTTTGCAAATGTTCCTCCCTGGCAGAAATGAGCTTCTTTGACAATTGCCACAGGTGAGTAGGAGGAGATTCCTGCTGGGCTGTCAGCTCTGCTGTATTCTGACTCTCACTCTCAGAAAAGACTTTGACATTATTTACTTGCATCTGATTCCATCCAGTGTCCAAAATCATCTCTGCTATTTGAGATGTTATCACTGTGGCTTTATCACATCACATAAATTTGTTGCTTGAGTGTTTTAACACCACTGAAGACTTAGCATTGAACTAATTTCAATACTAAAACTCCCCTTCCCCTTCAAATGGTTATAATATTTCTGGCTGCTCTACAGAGCCTTAAAAGCAGCTGCTTTTAATGCAAGGTGACCTGGGTGACAGTGAGCAATGAAGGGATCTCAGTGACTTCCTTTCACAATATGAAGTAGTTAGAAGATCATCAGTCCAGTAAATAACTCTTGGAAGTCTTGACTGACATCCATATATTTTTTCTGGGACAACCTAAGCAAGAAGAGCCAATAAACCCACATGGTATTTTTTAAAAAATGAGATTTGCAGAGCAGTCAGTTGGCAGCTGAGTGGGAGTTTGCAGACATATGGAGATAGTGACAAATGAAGTGTGGTGCCAGCAGAGTCGTGTTCATTAGGGGGCAGCTCCAGCTCCCTCCCACTCCCCATGGGTCAGCCTTCCTGCACAAAGCTGAAACTTTGGCAACAAACCCCCAGGGGACTTCCCTGAGATGTTCACAACCAAGTCAGGTTGGTTCTTAGAGAAATGCACATTCAGAGAAGCTCCTGGAGAGAAATGAAGAGATGCTCAGGAGAGCCCCACCTTGTCCCCTGTGAAAGCCACGGGGGAAGGGGGATAATCCTGAGGAGTTGGGTGTGAGGTGGGAGCACTGCAGCCCTGGATGGGACAGGCACATCCTGGAGCAAAGGAAAGGCTGCCTGAACTCTCAGGGACAGCATTATGCTTTCCTAGGAAAATAGATTCATTCACTGCAGGGAGAGATGAATGAAGGATGTGATAGGAGCAATATAAAGAGAAGAATCTAGAGAAGGTAATTTGGGATGTGGAATTGCTCTTTTCATCATCCAAGGACAAAGATATCCAATGAAGTGCAAGGCAACAAATGGAAAACAAATAGAAAGTGCTTCTTTCATGGAAAACTTAACCACAGGGATCTGTGCTGGGTGTTCCTTGAGATTGGCAGGACTGAAAAAAATGAAATTGCTCCAGAGCAATCAGATCTCTCTATACTGCACTGAATAAAGGCACTCTGTGTATAGAAACTTGGGTTAGGCTATCAGGCAGATGCTGGCTGAGAGGATCTTTTTCTCTTACAAATGTGCTGCAGTTTTCATTTACAGGGCTTTTTGTACTTTCTTGTGAAGCAACAATTCCATGGCTGGAGCAGTGGGCTGGGCTAACTGGGTGTACTGGTCTCATCTGCAGTGGCACTTCTTGTGTTCCTGCCAACTTAAAATGTTGGTTTTAATACTCAGATCCTGAAAGCATTCACAAGTAGGCAACTTTTTATACCTGACTGCAAATGTTAGCAGTGTTTGTGCTCTCAGAATTAGGGGCTCTGAGCCCACCAGGTGGAAACCAATCATTTGAGGTGCTATTTCTCATCAGGAATACACCTTGGAGTTCCATAAGCATCACCTAACTATGCAAAATAAAGCACTGGGAGCAAAAAATGTGGCATATTTCTGTGAATGTTACAGGGCACGGGATCAGGCTTCAGTGCTGCAGTAATAAAGAAGTGATTGAAATACCTGATTAGGCTAAGTGGGTGTTTCCCCACTTACTATGTGTTATTGAACGTAAAAATGTATTTGGATTTAAGATTTTTGCTTTATGTTAAAGACAAGTGGGTGCTGCAGTTCCCATGGTTTAAAGGAGCAGGGTGGAAACTCAATCCCAGCTCTAAGTCTAGACCTGGTACCAGTTTTAGCAGCTTTGTCTATGTTTTAGTGCACACAGTCCCTGAGGGGATGATTTGGGGATTTTGTTGGTGTGGTTGAAGTGCAGCAGCTCTGCTGGGAGGTTTAATTCAGTGCTGAGTGTACAGAGCAGCAAATGAGCTCTGCTGGGGAAAGGCTTTTCCAGCTGCTGCTTCTCCTCCCTGCCTTTGGCTTGCTTTGCTATTACAGCTGCTGAGTATTCCAATAGAGCAGATCCTTCAGCATCCCACAAAAACCAGTGAGACATTCACTGACTTCAGCAGGAGCAGGCTGGCACTGAAATTGAAATACTGACAGAGAAGGATGGAAAAGAAACAAGACTGAAAAAAAACTAGCTCTGTGGTCGTTCTTGCAATATATATTTCTCTTCAGCTTCTTGTAAATATAATAGAAGAAGGAAAGACCTCATTTTCCTGGAGGAAGCCTGTGTTGTTCCTAGTGCAGAAATAGATTTTTTTATGTCTAGTATTTGCCTATAATCTTTTTTTTCCCCACTAATTGTATTTAAAATCTTGTATCCAAAGGCTGTTTTGACCCTCTCTGCTGTACTGGGCTCTGGGCAGTCCTGAGCTATTTTAATATCCATGGTGTAGGAGAGCACTACAAATCTGAATGAGGTAAATGGTGCTGTTAAAAGGTCTTGGCAGAAGGTGTTTTAATGGCAGAAAGCTCTTCTCCTTCCCTGCCTGGTGTAGTAGCTGGATAATGGTGTTGGGTTTTTGGCATTGTTTGGGGTGGGTTCTTTAAATGCTTCAATCTTATTGTTGAGCCACTTGAAATATGTTCCCCTTTCCTCTGCAGATAACAAGGAACTTTACCTTGCAAAGGCACTTCACAAGGCATTTCTAGAAGTTAATGAGGAAGGATCAGAAGCTGCTGCTGCCTCAGGTACCTGACTGAAAAGCAGAATTAAATCAAATGTCTTGGTATTCTGTGCTAATTAATTTTTTACAACTGATTTGCTGTACAGCCAGGAAAGCTAAATAGCAGCATGGAGACACAGCATAGCAAGTGTGCAGCTTGCAGAAGAGAATTCTGCAAATCAGAAGTGTTGACATTTTTCTAACATGTTTTACCAAGAGTTTTGAGCATATTGTGAAAAACCTCTCCTTTATTTTCTGATTGTCAGGAGAGTACCGACTGCAATTTGTGTTTTCTTCATGGAGCTTGAGCATTCATCATTTTTCACCTGCTAATTGAGATAGTCAGAGGCATTTGATCCAGGAGAGTTAGAAGGAGATGAGGGTGGTTTTGGCAGCTGCATTTTAATAAGCTCATGTCTTGAAACACAAGATGGGAAATGCTGAATGCACAACCAGAGCTGTCCCCTCTTAAAGCTGGGGGCTGGTGCTCGGTTTGCAGATTGTCACATGGAAATAAGTTCTAGTTGTTGCCCATATGTGTCATTAGGTGATTTCTGATTGCCTCTATTTGCCAGTCTTTGAGGAAAGGAAGAATTGCTTGCCAGGTCTGGGTTGAATTGTGCCCAACTGTCCCTATGGTCATTCTCCAGTCTTTATGAACAGTGCAAATTCAGAAGTAAATGAAACACCAGGAATTAGTAATAGCATCCTGGAGAAATCCGTGCACCTCCAAATAAAAATAACAAAGGGCCAAATTCTGCCTGATTCACAGTTAATTTTGCCTTCAGCTCTGCAATATTTAAAAACACCAGCCAAAAGCTGCAGGATCAGCCCATTTAATTTTTGCATATCCCCTGGTTATGAAGAGTTCCCTTTCCCTCTGCACTGTGTAAAACAGGTCAGCAGTGCTGGTTAATGCAGTGCACTTCCCTCTGTGCCTGAGCAGGACTCACAACTCCTCTGAAGGTTCTGGACCTTAGAATTTATATGCTGCTCCCTCAGCCTGGGAAATTGCAGCACTCTGCATTGTTAATCATTCTCAAAGCCAGAACAGGCAATTACTCTGCAGGTCTCTCTCCTTTCCAGTGAATATTTCCCTGCTGGTTTTGGGGCTGAGTGTGGGACTTCAGGGGCTGCACAAAGGTCTCTGCTGAAGAGCAGGAGGAGGGGCAGAGCTGTTTGACAAGTTGCCTGTGTTCTGTTTCCTCCAGGAATGATTGCCATCAGCAGAATGGCAGTGCTCTATCCCCAGGTCATAGTGGACCATCCCTTCTTCTTTTTGGTCAGAAATAGAAGAACAGGTGAGAATATTGCAGACTTCTCTGAGTTTTTCACAGCACATCCTCAAGCAGTTAAAAGGAAAATTGCATGTTTTGATCAATGGACTGGGCTTGTATTATGCATTTCCTCAGTTTGTTTCAAAATACCCAATATTGAAAGACTCACCTTTTCCATGGCCTTGAATCTTTCTCCAGATAAAACACCAACATATGATACAACCCTGAAAAACACTCACAGAAGAGAGAAATTCACCATTTCTGTTGTGAGAACAGAGCATTTCTGCCCTGAGTATCCATAATCAGTGCACTCCCTGAGAGCTTGGCTGCAGTCAGCCCAGTGAAATATGTTCCCAGTACCAAATGATTTGCATAATGGAGGGACATTACAGCTGGGAATAATTCTAATAATTCTGGTGTGCTCTTCAAGTGCTCTGTAGCAGGTGAGGGATGAGAGCAGCACTCACCAGCAAAAGGGGCAAGGATTAAGTAATTCCTGAGTCTGGTATTTGTAATTTGCTGTAATGATGTGGATGTGACTGGCTGATAAAACATTGCTGTGCATCCACAGGGTTTTTATGGGTCTGGTTAGGGAGAGTCACCTGTGGGACTTCATTCCCACATCTCCCACAACTCCATCCCAGCTGAAAGCAAAGCGGGGTGCCAACTCCTAGGGTTTTAAAATTAAATATTATTACAGTTTTAGACACATTAGATAGAAAATATATCTAGAGAAGGCTATCTGGCCTTTATTGCCACTCCACATCCAAAAATCTTCCCAAAAAGAAAAGTTCAAATCAGGACAGAATGGAACTTGGTCGCTTTGGGACAGTTCTTAAAATTGTAGAACCCTTGTTGCATGTGGAAAGAAAAGATGTCAACAACTGTAGTTAAAGCCTCAAAGCTTGTTACTAATCCAGAAATTTGGGGCTGGAAACCTTTTGAAAAAAAATCCTGTTGGTTGCCCTTCCTCTCCAGACAAGCCCAAGTGCTCAGGTTTGGTTGTTGTCCTCAAACAGAGCTCCTGAGCCATTTCCTGTTCCACTTTCTGAGACATTTGTTCCTGTAACAATCACACAGCACTGCTCTAGAGGTTATGGTTGGTATTCATCATCTTAAATCCTCATCTCCTCCTGCTTTTGACACCTTTCCCTCCCTCCCTCCTTTCCCACTTTCTCCACAGGTACGGTGTTATTCATGGGAAGGGTAATGCACCCCGAGGCAATGAATTCCAGTGGCCACGACTTTGAAAAGCTTTAACTGCCACCGGCTACCAAAAGGAGGAGATAAGCACATAAAGTTTGAAGTTAATATATTTAAGGTTTGCCGTGTTTTCCCCCAAGATACTGTTTCAAAACGCTTTCGGATCTAACTGTGTGCAAGTCAGTTCCCAGAGGAAAGCTTACAGTATTAAAGTAATGGTTCTGTTTCTGTCATTGTGATTGCTGTGTCCTTAAAATAAAGTTGTGTACATGTCAACAATTGTTTCTTGTTCTAGTGGGTTGTAAAGCAGAGAACTGCAAATCCATTATTTGTAATTTTTTTTAACAGTCCAAAGATTGAGTTGATCAATGAGACAGGAGCAGAATGTGTGCAGCTCTGAATAATGCAAATGGCAAAGCTTGGTGGGCATTTCTGGAGCTGAAGAAGCACATGTGGACACTGTGATCTGATCCTGTCCCTGGCAGAGCAGGGACATCACAGCCTGTGATGCGCTGCTAGAGCACAGAAAATGGAACTAACTGAGCCCAGTGGATTTGATTCTTGCCTGTGGTAGAACTTTGTGTGAACTCTCCCACGTGATTCTCGAGTGCTGCTTTTCTGGATGCTCCTGCATGTGACTGCCACTGACCCCCTAAGTGTTGATGCCAATAAAACCCGATCGCATGAATATTTGAGACCTGTCAGTGTAGAAAGCTCTGTGTGTGACTGAAGTAAAGGAGTTCACTAGTAATGGCATTTGTGTGGACATATTTTTTCTCCCCCACAGCAGTTCTACTCTTCGATATCTCATTTCAGGGCTCTAGAATGTTCTTTCTCAAAAAAAAACAAAAAAACAAAAACACCCTGACTTAAATTAAGTGTCTAAAAATGTTCAGTTCATAAATACAATAAATAAATATCTAAAGGAACAACATCATCATTTTCATTTCCTAATTTTTCCTTGAAAACAGGTTGACAGAGAGGCGAATGACACCTAGCAGAAGGAAATATTAGCAGGGGAATTAGTTGCTGTTTCCATTTGGAAGAGGGGGAGCAGTACCCACTGTCAGCAGAGAGACATATAATTATTTCCTTCCTCATTGTGCAAAAACAAAAAGAACAGAGGTTATTAACAAGGTGAGAGAGAATAGGAGAAAAGGAAGGAGGAGCTGTTTAGAAACAGATCACAAATACAAACCTTTGGATAATAAATGGGTTTTTCTCAATCAGTAGGAGTTTTCTCTTTGGAATTCTATGGGAACAAATGGATTTTGGCTGAAGGGCAGTTACAGGCTTCCCTGGCAATCAGTCACTTCAGGACAGCAGAGCTCCCGAAGTTATTCATGCAAGGAGAACTTCCAAAATCTGACACATTGTTCAGTCTTCCTCTGCTGCTGGTGGAGCTCCTGCAGGTCAGACCAGGACGTGAGGGATGTTCTCTGTGCAGGCTGGGAATGCTCCCCTGGAAAAAAGAGCTTTTGAACACATTTCCAGCCCTGCCTCCTTGAATGGTTTCACAAATGGGGTTCCCAAGTCTGTTGTTTGTTACCTTGCTGTATTATAGTCTGGACTTGATAAGACAGTTTTGTATTCAAATTTAGATGAAAATGGTAATTTTTGCTTTGTGTAGCTAAAAGTGTTATGCTGTGGAGGGAAAGGGGAGTGCTGCTCAGAGGGAACAGGGGCTAATTTTACCAAGACAAGAACTGCCTCACTGCAGGTAAAATGAGCTTTGCTGTGGGTTACACAAGGGCTGGTTCTTCACATTTAAATAACTCCGTGGACATCCCCTCATGTCTGTAGACATCTCCATATGCTGAGGATCTCCTGTGGGTTATCTTAGGAGAAACTGGTTTTAAGCTTTTTAACATTTTTTTCAGGCTATTTTTGTGGTAATTCTGGCTGAGAAGGACGTGAGAAACCTTCAGTTGTGTTTATTTTCAGTCCATCAAAAGTTCCTCCTGACCAATTTTGCCTTTTCTTTCTATCAGTTCCTTGCAACGTATATATTCCTTACTAAAGGAAGGGCTGAAAACAGATTTGAGCTGGAGCTTTGAATTTTGGAAGGACAGCTGCCAGGCAGAAGAGTTTATAGAGGATATCAGGCAAATGCACTGAATGGCCCTGCAGCTGGATTGAGCAGAAGTACAATGGAATGATGCAGAATGACAAATTCCAAATCAAATTCCCAGGATTGCCTGAATGGGCACACAGGAGAACCAGCAGGAACAGAAATGCAAACACTTGTGATTTCACTTGCTGCTCTCCCGGGCTTTACAGATGCAAACCAACCTTTTCTCTGTTTCTTGAAAATTGAGAATTTCCTGGTTTGCAGCAACATGAATTGATTTATTTCCATAGTTTTCAGTAGTAATAATAGCTTTAATATTGTTGCCAGTTCATTGGTATATGGATGCTGTTCCATGATGCTTTTTACTCCAGATTTTTTATATTTTTTATAATGTTACCTTCAAAAATGCCGCTGCTTTTTCACTACAAAACAAAATCATTTTGGCTTTTTTTAATATCTTTTCTTTGGTAGGGGGAATTTGTCAGCTGTAGCTCATCTATGAGTTTAGGTGTGCAGCCTTCAATTGAAAACTGTTTTGTGCTGGAGGCTCTATAGAAAACAAATTAGTGGCACTTCTGTAATTGTGCCAAAGGAGTGACCCACGGTGTGACAGTGCTGGGCTGCAATTGCCTGATGGAATCCTCTTCTCTGTCCTGAGCCCAGGTGGGAATGCTTCCCAGAGCTCCTCCTGGAAAGGTTTTCCCCAAGGATCCCTTCAGCAGCGGTGCTACTACTGAAAATGGATTTATTTGGCTGCTAGGATCCCACTTGTGCGTGACCTTGAGCACCTGAGGGTTTTTGTAGAGTCTATTCAACCAAAATTTTCCAATTTGTGTGAATTAGAATGGGTTTGTTGCTGTTCCAGCACGAATTTTCATTCTCTTTCCACAAGCCAGAAGTGAACTTTTGTATCAGTGTGTGGGAATCAAGGATATGAGATTCCTCAAAGAAACACGATCTTGATGCTACACCAGAGACAAACCCAAACTTAGTCAAGGCTCTTTTGGCTAATTTTTATTTGTCAGTGGTGGACAGAGGAAGAAACCACAAGATGTCACTCTATCCTAAGGAGCTGAGAAGGACTTTCCTTTTGACAGGAATCCTGTGGGAGTGTTGCAAAGGTGGATGTCCTGCACAGAGCTGAAGCACAGGTGGATCTCAGCGCAGTTAATGAGAGATGCTGAGTTTGGAGCATCATTAGCCCCACGTTCCTGGGATTAATAATCACAGCTGGGGGGAACAAACCCCCAGACACCTGCAATCCTCCCTCTGATCCTTGGTCAGGGATTGCTGGAGGGAGTTCATGGCTCCCAGGGGAGTTTTTGTCCTGCTCGGTGTGGGGTGAAATGGCAGGAATGTCGCTGTTGGACACAAAATGGGTACACAGAAGCTTGGTGAGTTCAAAACAGAAAAAGAGCCAATTTTTCTGACCTCCCAATATATAGAATTCCAAAAGTGACAGTGGATTGGAGGATGGAATTGCCACCTCTCCAACCACACTGGTGAAACCAACAGTCCATCAATTCTCTCCTCCCACAAAGAAAAATGTAAAACAATCATTATTTACATGAATGAAGAGTTCCAGTAGAAATATGTAAACATCAGAAGGCATAGAAAACTTCTAAAAGAACGTTAAAACTTTCAAAAGCACTATAAAAGAAAACTTAACACTTTTAAAACTTAGGGCAACACAGGAATGGGTTGTTCTTTCAACCTGTCCCCATGAACAGCCCCAGAGCTGTGCTGGGGTTATTTCCAAGAGCCACTGCTGCAACAGGACCCAGAATTTCTTTTCTAAAAGAGGGAAATAACTGGGATTTACTCACTGATGTGCTGTTCTCTTTTGATTGTCTCTTAAATTCCCCCCTTCCCTCTCTGCCTTCCACATCCCTGGAATTCCTTCAGGAGCAGATTCCCTGGCACAGTGAGGTCCCACCACTGTCAGAGCTTCTCCCTGCCTGGGGAGGAGGCAATATTATTCCTGGAATAACAAATGGTGTTTACCAGCTCATTCTTGAGTTGTTCCCATCCGTTTTATTGGGAAATGCTTCTTTTTGTCCGTGCAGTGGGAAACTGGAGTGCATGGATTGGAGAGAGATGGAAAGCAGCGCCTTGGTGAGAGCAGCGAGGAGCTGCCATCCCTCCTGAGCTGCTCTGCATCCCCTGGCACAGCTGGGGAGCAGCTGGGGGTTAATTTAGCTCGGGAAACTGTCAGGATTTCCCCAGGGTTTGGATCAGGCTGCTGCAGGCGCAGGGCTCCAGACAGACAGACAGACAGACAGACAGACAGACAAAGGCTCCGCTGCTCGCTGGCACCTCTGGTAGCTGCCTCAGCATCTTCTGGGGCATCCAGCCGGGCTGGCTGAGGGCTGTGAAAGGAAGTTCCACATGAGAAACCATCCTCAATGCACATGGGTGATGCTCTGAAAGTCATCATCACTCCGTGTCTGCGGCCCCCTCCACAAGGTCTTCTCAAATGACATTCCTTCCATGCAGCACGGAAAGATTTTCCTCCTTTTGCAGCACTAATTAGAAGCCAAATTCATGGGCCAGCTGCTTTGGGCACGAGGCAAGCTGAGTGAGCAGCTGGGCAGAAGTGAGGGATGGCAATTGTTATAAATGAAAATTTGTCCGGCCAAATTAAAATGAAAAAGTAAAAGATTTATTTTGCAATTCAAATTCTATCTAGCCAGCCACAAGGAAAGAACAGAGCTGAGCCCGGGGTCAGCGCTGGGTGTGCAACAAGAAGTCAGCCTCAGAAGAGGTTTTCCTCTATGCCCACGCCACCATTCTGGTACAAACGGTTTTTATAGTTTTTTATAGTATTTTTATAGTCCTTTCTTCTATTCAGAGTCCCATAGTGTGATGAGATTTCTTTTCTTGGTGGCGAGGTAGAACAATTTGATGTCGGGAGTTGTTGAATCCCTTGAAGCAATTTAGGATGATCAGGCCTGGGCATCCCCATCTACAGCCATCTCCAGAGAGCCACATCCTTTTAGGTGTAAATTGGGTTCCAACATACACCAGGGGACTCCTAATATGTCAGAATCTCTGGCATTGATGATTCCCAGATTGTAAAAGTCTCTGTCTTTCTGCCCCGCTGCCAAAGCAGAAGCCATAATTCATCTGTGCTGGTTTCAAGGTTGTTTATTCTGTTTATCTCTACCATGTTCTGCTGCCCTGCCGCAGCTCTGTCCTGCAGGGC